ATCTGTTAAACAAGAAAGAACACAAAAATTCAGCTAGAGGTTCTCCTCCTTCTGGTAATGATGACAGTGGTGGTCATAGTTGTTGGCAGGACCTGAAGGGCTGAAAGTTCAGCCGGTTTTGGTGGAATGGTAAGATTTGGAGGGTGGGCAAAGAAAGTGAAAGGGAAGGAGATGCATTTTCATGATGATGATGATGGTGGTGGTGGTGCATGTAGTGGTAGTGGTGGTGGTTGTGGATAATGAAGATGATAATGATAACCCATGCCATTGCCTATGGTCCTGCCTGCTCTCCTGAACTGATTCTGATGGGTTTATGTGCAAGGGTTCTGGTATTAGCGGGCAGGTATCTGCCGATCTGGTATTGGTGAAGGGGGAGATTGGTGTACGATGCCTGTTCATTCAGTGGTTCATCTGTTAAACAAGAAAGAACACAAAAATTCAGCTAGAGGTTCTCCTCCTTCTGGTAATGATGACAGTGGTGGTCATAGTTGTTGGCAGGACCTGNTGTTAAACAAGAAAGAACACAAAAATTCAGCTAGAGGTTCTCCTCCTTCTGGTAATGATGACAGTGGTGGTCATAGTTGTTGGCAGGACCTGGATGAAGGGCTGAAAGTTCAGCCGGTTTTGGTGGAATGGTAAGATTTGGAGGGTGGGCAAAGAAAGTGAAAAGGGAAGGAGATGCATTTTCATGATGATGATGATGGTGGTGGTGGTGCTAGTAGTGGTAGTGGTGGTGGTTGTGGATTATGAAGATGATAATGATAACCCATGCCCATTGCCTATGGTCCTGCCTGCTCTCCTGAACTGATGCTGATGGGTTTATGTGCAAGGGTTCTGGTATTAGCGGGCAGGTATCTGCCGATCTGGTATTGGTGAACTGGTGCTGAAGGACATTAATGGTGCAACCATGCGTATCAGCAAGGTTGATTGAGTGATGTGATTAGATGCTTCCCTTTTTTTTATGTCTGATTGGGCAGGGTGATTTATCTTGTGTTGTAAATGCCTTTTTGTTGGCCTTCAGGTTCTTGTCGAACAACAAATTGTGGGGCAGAATTCCAACCACTTTTGGAACATTGAGTGCCCTGGAAAAACTGTAAGGCCTTCTGAACTTCCACTGTTTGCCCTATAATTTCATTTGCCTCCTCAGAGTCCTCTCACATATAACTGTTGAACAAGAAGTCTTGTGTTCGAATCCTGTTGGGTACAATGACAGTAGGGGTTGCTTCCTTTCATGAAAAAAATATTGTCTTCCTAAACTCTCTTTGGGATGTTTTTCTTCTTGTACGTCTCCTCTGTTTCTCTCTGTTCTTTCCTTTTCTTTCAAGAAAACGCCTTCAATTAAGATGCTGGAAACCGCGAAAGACAATCCACGATGATTTTGTTACTGTGGTTATCATTGTTCAGAAGGTTCCGCTGTACACAGCTCTCTTGTTGCCAAAGTGCTCGTCTATTTCTCCAATACAATTTTTTCTTCTTGAGCATTGGCGTCTTATACACAGACTTTGATTCGTCACCCGCTGATTTAAAATATCGTGTTCCACTTGACACATTTGGTTGAAAGTCTGACATGCTTTTTGTCAGGTCACTGCAGGGAAATCATCTATACAGCAGCATACCGTCACAACTAGGTGAACTGCAGTTGCTAAGTGCACTTGACCTTGCTGACAACCGTCTTGATGGGTCTGTGCCTCGAGCGCTGGGGAAGCTCACGAATCTCACGTTCTTGTAAGTATCTTTTGCTGTACAAACCAAGTCTTAGTGTACAGATAATGGTTTTTGAGACTCGTTTTGTGTGCTAAACGTCTTCCCACAAATAAACGGCATGCTCGTTATGGCTGTATTGATGTTGATGTCAGGCTAGTGCAAGGAAGATGAGCAATAGCGAACTTCAGCAATCAAACAGCATCATACATATGAGACCAGATAGTCGTGACCTCGAACCAACAGCGGAATTGCATCACGAGATTCATCAAATAAGAACACACCAAGAGTTCATAATTGACAATGCTGAAATAGTCCCATCATCATCAACGAAGAACCAGAGTTGATATCCTATCTGGCGCTCGGCGCCCAGACTACATGTGGCAGATCCGATCTAGCCTACACTACGATGCCGAAAGATGACGTCAACAGCTTTCCCGAAGTACGAGCACATGGCGACCAATGTCGCGCGCTTCCATCACCAGGTATGTCTCTTGCCACACGCACAACCTCGTTCCCCAACACACAGATGCCACTAGCACCGAAGGACCACCCTGCGCTTCACCCAGCATACAGCAGCGCAGCTCGGCTATGGCTGCGTGCTCCTTCCCTGCTCGCCCGTGAGAGCGTAGGCGCCAGCCAGCAAATAGCACAGCAGCGCTTGCGCAGCGTGCAGCCAGCACCCGAATGCCGAATCCGGAGGCAGGCCCTTTGTTATATCGAAGTGGCCTGCCTGCGTCCAGTCCCAGGAAGCTTCCAGCAGGCCCCGGTAGCCTGAGGCCCAGCACGATGAAAACAGGCCTTGGGCCTGAGGTGGTTGCATGTGCCCAACTGCCTTTGGCCTGTGTTTGGCCCAGTACCCGTATCCAGCCCAGGGCCTGCTTCACATACATTCCCACAGGCGGCCCAGGGCCTGGGTTCACTCAACAACTGGCACTGCGCAACGGCCTGAATTTCCCTGAGTTGCGTGCTGGCCAGAATAGGGCCCTCAGGGCCTCGTCAAGCCTGCCTTCACTTAGGGCGGCCGACGGCAGCAAAATGGGGCCTTCTGGGGCTCATAGAGGCAGTGGCCTCGCATTCCCTCCTCCTTAGCTTCAACAGTCCTCTGAGAAGCTCAGTCTTCAATCATGGGGCGCTTTCCCTTCTGCAGAGATGTCTCGTATTGGGCTACAACTTGAGGAGCGGTCTGCATGAGTTCCTCCCTGGTGAACCAACGGTCCTCCTTCGGATCAGTGTGATGCCGGAACCGGACGTGATATTGCAGCTTTGGTTTCGGAGGACGTCCCCTGCCTGTTGGTCTTGATACTGGCAGCTCTCTGTGGTCCACGATGTCATCGATGTCCACCTCTCCGCCCATGGTTGGGGGCAGCTTTGAGCGTCAAGATGGAAACTGATCAGTTTCTTTGAAAGGTGCCAGCTTAGAGGCGTGAAAGACAGGGTAAGTGCGGAGGTGACCAGGTATCCGGATAACATAAGATGGACCATCCGGATCTGTCCCAACAATGTCCAAGACTTCCCAGGGTCCAAAGTACTGGGGCATGAGTTTGCGGGAGATCCCGTGCTCCTGTCCCAGTTCTGAAGACTTCACCCAGACCCTATCCCCAACTTGAAATGTTGAAGGTCGGCGGTGTCTATTTTCAGACTCTATCATTGCAGCCTGCGCCTTCTGCATCTGTTCTACAGCCTGCTGCATCTTCTCTTCATAGCGATATGCAAATTCTAAGGTACCTGGTGCGGCAGTGGATTGATTCTCAGGGAGAAGGAAATCTAGGGGCAGTCTCGGCTTAAATGTTAGCAGTAAGCTATTTGGGCTCACCCCGGTGGCGCTGTGTACAGCATTGTTATACAAGCTGGCGATGAGAGCAAGCTTCTCATCCCAGTCCACCTGGTTGGGCTTGATGTAGTGCCGCAACAGGTGTTGTACAGCCCAATTCAGTTGCTCGGCCTGTCCATTGGCCTTTGGATGATTCCCAGAAGTCATCTGCAACTGAGTTCCCTGCTCTGCAGCAGCGGCCTTCCACAACTCGCTGGTAAACCGGACATCCCTGCCACTGACAATAGACTTCGGTGAACCAAAGTCTCTAACCCAGTTCTCTTTGAACATTCGGATCGTACTCCATCTTTGCTGTTTCCGGCATTGCTACTAACCTGGCATACTTACTAAATCTATCCACGATAACGAAGATGTGACGCATCCCGCTCTTGCTAGTGATTAGAGTATCCATGAAATCCATGGACAGACTCTCATCAGGCCGTTCCGTAATCGGAAGGGGCTTCAAAAGCCCAAGAGGAGCCTGAGTACGTGGCTTGTCCCTTTGACAAACTTGACAAGTCTCCACGTACAGTTGGGCATCTCGCATCACCGTGGGCCACCAGAACCGCTGCAGCAGATTGGTTGCGGTCTTCTTATACCAAAATGGCCGGTGGCATCATGGCACTCACCTAAAAACAAACTACGCAAAGACTCGCTATTTGGGACACACAATCGTTTATTCCCTTCGTTCTCAAGGAACAGCAAGTCATTGACCAACTTAAACTCGGCAGAAGTTTTCTTGTCCTTCGCCTCAAGTCTGCGTATGATCTCAGACATGAACTGGTCCTCGCGATAGGCTTCCACCAAAGACTGAGTAACACTGTGCGTCAGATCGAACTCAGTAATCAGCGCACCTGAGAAACCAGGTCTACGCAACAAGGCATCAACAACCTTGTTGTACTCCACTTTCAGATACTGAGGGTCAAAGTCATATTGCTCAATGACTTCGATTCAACGCTTGAGAGCGTCAGAGAGCATCGACTGAGTTCTGATCCATCTCAGGGTCTGATGATCAGTCCTGAGGATGAAGAACCTTCCAAGGAGATAGTGTCTCCAATGGGTCAGAGCCTTGTACACCGCATAGAGTTCCTTCTCATAGGTGGACTTAGCCAACTTCTGAGACGGCATTTTCTTGGACATGTACTCTACAGGCCTTAACTTTGGCCCCTCCTGCTGCGCGAGCACGGCGCCAATGCCATATTGGCTGGCATCCGTGGTGACTATAAACGGCTTATCAGGATCAGGAAGTTTCAAGACCTCGTAGTGCGTCAATGGATGCTTCAGATGTCTGAAAGCAGCCTCGCACTCATTTGTCCACTCCCATGGGGTATCAAGGCGCATCAGATCAGTCAAAGGAGCGACTACTATACTATAGTTCTTAACGAAGGTCCTATAGTAGCCTGTCATTCCTAAGAAAGATCTCATCTCAGTCACAGACTGAAGACGTGGCGAATCACAGATCCGGCCGAGTGTCTCTCCTTATGGGTCTCCAGTACTATTCGTACCTAAGAAGAAGGAGGGTACACTTAGGATGTGCATTGACTATAGGGGCCTCAATGTCGTCACCGTAAAGAATCGAGAGCCCCTACCGCGCATCGACGATTTGCTAGATAGAGTGCAAGGGTTTCGGTACTTCAGTAAGATAGATCTGAAGTCCGGGTACCATCAGATTGCAATCCGGCCCGAGGATCAACACAAAACCGCCTTTAAGACCAGGTACGGTCAGTATGAGTTTGTGGTGATGCCTTTCGGCCTTTGCAATGCTCCTGGCACCTTTCAGCACACTATGAATCGGATATTCCACGAACCCTTCTCTACAAGTTCCTTGAGCTGTCGGCGAAGCTCATCGAGCTCGCTTGGAGACATCCGATAGATTTTACCCTTTGGGATGCTAGACCCTGGGATAATCTCTATCGCGTGGACGACCTCCCTCTCTACAACCCCTGTTGGCTCTTCAAATAGATTAGGGTACTTGGCAACTACTCCCTCTATCTCCGGCGACATTTTCACCGGCTCGCCTGCAGCAGAGACATAAACTAAGTACATACCCTCCTCCTGGTTTTGCTTATAATAATTGTAGAACGCGGCCGCACACATGCACCCATAGGACTCGATCAGACTACTAGCTTTGAACTTATGTAATCTGGCGGTCTCTCCACCTGGCAAAGTGTGTTTGACCACTTTTCGGTCCCAGTCAAACTGGGGCTGTGCCACAGAGAGGTAGTACAGACCTAGTAACATATCCATTGGGAGCTCGTCACTCACTAGGAACGAGACGCGATGTCTCAATTCCCCTCCCGCGTACGGGAAACAACACTCGACATCCTGGAGGTAGTCGTTGATTACCATGCGCTGTTTGTTGGCACAGGTCGACTCAGGCGTTGCACTCGTCGCTGTAAACGCAGCCTCTCAACGCACGCGCGACTTACAAAGTTCCTTGTCGAGCAAGTGTCATAATAGGCCCCGGCCTTGCGGCCGCCAATGACAACCTCGCTGACGAACATCTCACCGTTAGGGGCTTTGACTAGGGCCGTCCAAGAAGCTAGCGGGTCTGATCTAGACCACTCCACTTCTAGCTCCTCTAAGGACTCAAACACATTCATCGAACAGAGGCTCGATGGGTGTGAATGTGTTTGCGGGACGACACTGGAGTCAGTAGCTTCGGCCATCTCTCGAGATGGTGAGGGTGTCTCCACCACCTCGACCCTAGTAGGAACAACTACTTACTATTCCTATTGGCCCGACGTGTTTCGCGGAGCACTGCCTGAAGTGCTGGCAACATTGCTACCAACGGGATGTGAGGATCCTACTGCCTGCCCCATCATAGGCGGGATCTTGTCAGTCACCTTCTTATTACGGCACTTGAACTGATTATGGCCATATTGGCCACAACAAATGCAAGCCTGCCGTGTGTACCGATCTCTCCACACGTCCTCTGCGAGACCCGCTCTCGCCCATGGAGGAGCATTGGGGTCAACTTGACTCCTAGATCGGGAACCTCTACGACGTCTACCGGTCGCCTTACCTTTTTGAGTTACAGCAGCAACTACTCCACCCTCTGAAGCTTGTAAGCTGCACGCCTCTGAACCTACTCCTTCCTGGAAGTGTTCGTCTACTTTGATAGTAGAACCATCATTATCGACAAACATTAAGCGGCCCTTCACCTTCTAGTTGGGAGGCAGTGTCTTTCTCCTTCCATCCGTAGTGGGTG